TTCACAATTATTTCTGCTGTTCCCTCCTTTCTCTTAGTTGCAGTAGTAGTATAACATTTGCAGTAAAAATGTTGATGCCTATAGCTCACATATGCTGGTCCAAGTCAGTTGATGAGTTTGTAGCCTTATAGGTTTTTGTTGTGGTTTCTTTTCACTCTAAGCAAATTTCTGCAGAGCCAAAATTCATGACTGCAAACCATGGGAGGATGTTCAGTCTGCCTACATATGTCTAGGTTGGGAGCAACAACAAAAGGAAACAGGAAGAAGGTGCCATGTTCTGGCCTAGTGAAAACTGAGAATTTACATTCATTTGACAACTATTGCTAGCCTGCACTGACTGTTTGTGTATTCTGCACATGGTACCACTGCTGCATCCCAGAATGCAAAGCATATGGGATGACTGGGGGAAGGTAAAAATCTCAGATTTGCAAATTATATGGTAGCTGGATTGGATTGAGGTCAGATCATGTTCTCACCATAAACAAACTGCTCTGGAGATTGTTTGGAGCTGAACAGAGACCCCTATTTCCAGAGGCTCTTGTTACAGTTGTTTTATTCTTCACTCTAGTCAGATTGCTAAAACTAATCAAAAAATTAAACTGACTTAAAAACTGCAGTTGAGAACACCCTACAAAGCTTTTGCGCTCTTCACTATATTAGAATTGCTACAAACTTTCTGCAGAATCATAAATAAGATTAAACAACCCTGCAAACTATTGATAATTTGGCTTTAATGACTTTTTAGTCCTTCCATCTGGTAAATATTTAAGGACCCAGTCCCACAGACCGATCAACAACCGTCTGGTAACAAATGGTCACTATAGGAAAAGTGCCCTGACTGATTCTGAAGTGGTGACTAGAGGTTGCTTGCTCTTGGTTTATGAAATTGGTCATAGAAAATGTTTATGGTTCAGCAAGCAGATTGCTTTGGGCACTCATAGTTTGCATGAAAGATGCCGACTTGTTTGCAAACACTTGCTCACTACTCACACTCAAAGAAATGCAACACCTGAAAAGAAGAAAAGAAAGAAAAAGCACTTTTTAAAACATGTTTTCAGATCAGCTCACCACAACTTGCCTCGACTCGGATCAGTTGGTTTTCCATTACAATTGAGTACCACATAATGTGCATGGTGGTCGCTATAACAAAGGTGGACGTTGAGGCAATGATATATCTGCTGCACTGGATTATAAGGCGTACTGTCAATTTTTGAGAAAATAAAAAGGATTTTAAGTGCGCCTTATAGTCCGAAAAATATGGTGCCTCATTCCCGGGTTTCAAAAATGCCAATTCTGATTTTCGCTCTCATGACTCATCAAGTGACACCACTGACCAGTCAATCAGCGGCATGCAGTCTGATGACTTCACATTTTACTACTTGATCAGATCGCTTGCAACCCCTGCTGAGCAGGTACTATTTTAGTACTGGTGTTGGCCAGAGGGGCCGATGGCGCGATATGGCAGCCTCGCTTCTGTCAGTCTGCCCCAGGGCAGCTGTGGCTACAACCGTAGCTTGCCTCTACCAGTGTGTGAATGCGAGAGTGAATGAATAGTGGCATTGTAAAGCGCGTTGGGTGCCTTGAAAAGCGCTATATAAATCCAATCCATTATTATTATTATTATTATTATTATTATTATTATTATTATTACCTAGTGCCATGTGCTGTGATGTAATGAAAATTCCTGAAAATCATGGCTAGTTGAACCAAGTAGGTAGTAATGGAAAAGGGGCTAATTACTTCATTTCCATGAATTCCTTCCATACTACATGGCGCCCCTTGTGGCAGATCTGTTTGCAACGCGCTCTGAGTTCTACGCTCGCTTCGACACCCTCAACATCAACTATCACAGAGGGATTCTACCAGTGGAGGCAGCACAGAGCTCTTCACTCACTGACATCGACTGAGTTTTATACAAGGTTCTGAGGAGGACTAACCCCTGAAAAGCAGCCAGCTCTGACAATGTCCCCGGCTGTGCTTTGAGGGTCTGCTCTTCAGAGCTGTGGTGTTTACAGACATTATCAATTTGCCCACATGCTTCAAGTCCACCACCATAGTGCCCCTCCCCAAGAAAAAAAACCATAACCTGTTTGAATGACTATTGCCCCATCACACTCACTTCAATTGTAATCTGTTAATCAGGGGTCCTCAATTCCAGGCCTCAAGGGCCGGTGTGCTGCAGTTTTTAGATGTGTCCGTGATCCAACACAGCTGATTCAAATTGCTAAATTACCTCCTCAACATGTCTTGCCGTTCTCCAGAGGCAAGAGACCCAGGGTGAGATCTAAAACCTGCAGGACACCGGCCCTCGAGGCCTGGAGTTGGGGACCCCTGCTGTTAATGTTGCCATCCACACAGCCCTGTCACACCTCGAAAATAAGGATACCTGTGTTCGAATGCAGTTTATAGACTACAGTTCAGCATTCAACACCGTCATCCCAAACAGACTGGTGGGGAAGCTGTCTACTCTTGGCCTAACACTACCCCCCCTCTGTTGCTGGGTCCTGGACTTCCTCAAAGGCAGACCTCAGTTAGTCCACTCCTGTACACCCTCTTCACCTATGACTACGTCCACTCCAAGAGCAAGACCTCCTCCATTAAGTTTGCTGATGACACAACCATCGTCAGGCTGATCACTGGTGAAGAGGAGACTACTTACAGGGAAGAGGTGGCCTAGCTGGCGTCCTGGTGCCTGGAAAATAATCTCTCCTTAAATGCTGAGAAGACTTAGGAGATTATTTTTGACCCAAGGCTGAGGAGAGACCAGCACGCTGCACTACACATCAACAAGACTCGGGTGGAGAGGGTGAAGACCTTCAAATTCCTCTGCACCCTCATCAGTGAGGATATCACCTGGACCCATAACACACGGCAGATCACCAAGAAGGCTCAACAACAACTCTTCTTCCTAAGGAAGCTGAGAAAGTTTGAATTAAACTCCAAACTTCTCAGCAACTTTTACAGGTGCACAGTGGAGAGTATCCTGACAAACTCCATCATAGTGTGGTATGGGAACAGCACCACTCAGGACAGAAAGGCTCTCCAGTGTGTTATTAAAACAGCACAACTCATCTGTGGAGTACCACACCCACCACTACAGGACATTTACAACACTCATTTCAGGAAAAGGGCACACATGTCAAGGACCGCACCCACCCACAGCACACAGTGTTAACACTCCTGCCATCTGGCAGACGCTACAGGACTGTGAAAACAAGGACAACCAGAATAAACAACAGTTTCTATCCACAGGCCATCAGGCTACTGTCAAACTTTAATTATCCATAAATGTAAATTTGCCATTTTTTTACATTTATATTAACCTGTAGATTTGGAGTTTTTGTACATATCTTTACATATACACCTTAATATTGCATACTCTGTATATATTATCACTGTGATTGTGTTCCAACTACTTCTGATTACACCCACCCATAAGCTACATAAGTTACAAGTGCTACAAAGCCCCGTATTACTTATTTATGACTTTCTTTTAGTTGTGTGAAGGGAACCTGCAATGTATGAATGTATGAGTTTTATTGCTCTGCATAACCATTTGTGTTTTGCGGTGCACATGGCAATAAACTTATTGAATTTTGAATACTATTGCAACATGAGGCCTAGCATTGTTGTGGACCAGCTGGAACCCCACATCTACTGTATATGTGTAGGATCCTACAATGTGTCCAAGAACTTCATCCCAATACCTAACGGTAGTCAGGGTAACGTTATCTAGTCTACAAAGGTCCATGCCTCCCTGCATGGATATGCCTTCCCAGACCATAACTGACCCATCCTCAAGTCACACATGGTGAATGATGTTACAGGCAACATGTTGTTTTCTTAAGCTTCTCCAGACCCACAGTGTGAACCTCCTTTCATTTGTGAAAAGCAAAGGGCAGCGGTGGTGGACCTGCCAATTCGAGTATTCTGTGGCAAATGCCAGTTGGGCTCCACATTGCTCAGGCCACCCTCATGAAGCATGTTTCTGATTGTTTGGTCAAAGACAGTCACACCAGTGGCTTGCCGATTTTTTGGGTTCTGGGAATGCTTATACTGTTCCTGCATCCACAACGGAGCAGATACAGGTCCTACTGATGGGTTAATAACTTTCTACGGCCCTGTCCAGCTCTCATAGAGTCAATCGTCAGTGGCCTCCACCTGTAAAACCATTCCTGTTTTGAGTGTTGTGTGTTTTTGTTATTTGAGTATATTAGTGAACTAAATAGTGTAAATAAAGTCTTTGAAAGTAATCCAACATGTCCAGGATTGTTTGCATTTTTCACCTCTCAGTATTTCTTTTGTTCTTTTCTTCCCAGGGTGCAGCATGAGCAACTGACTGCAATCTTTCAGCTACTGAAAGAGAACAAGGAGACTTTTGGGGAGGTGTCAGAGGGAGACATAGAGGAGCAGCTCCGACTCTACTCCATCTGAGAGCCCTGTCGTGTCATAGATGCTCACTACAACCGTTTATTCTTAAAAACTACTAAAAAACTTCTCCAGTACACCAAATGAACTTTTTTGCAGTATTCAACGTGGCTGGACAGTGCTCTCCCAATTTTCTGATTTATTGTGTTTTACTGCTTGGATTTTTTTGTTCTGACCACCTGTCATCCACACGAAGGGAAAACCAAACTAGACTGGATCAATTCTCACACTGAGCAGGTTAATATATGAATGAATCCTAAAAGAAATTAAAGGAATGCTGTTTATTTTACTTTTAAAATATATTGCAGATATAAGTGATATAAACTCTGAGTTATGTTTGTTTCTGAAGTTGGTTGTCTAATAAAACACATTGTTGCTAATATCTGTGTGTGTGGCTTTGTGTGTCTGAATACATTTGTTTGCTTATCTGTCTGCAAGCTGTGGTGTAGCCCAGCCCATTCCCATCAGTGAGAGCGTGTCAGATTTAGAAGGAAGTGCATACATGTGTGTTTAATTGAACAGAAAGCCTTCACTTGACAGCGATGGCATCCCAAATCTCCAGGATATTTTTATTGCTCCTTGTAATGACAGTTAGTTTTGTGGTTTTCATTCTATCCCAGGAATCTTTATCAAAAATGTAATTTTTTTTTCATATCTATCTATGTATATCTATGTATTAATTTGCTAATTCTGAACTTTTTTGCTCCCTTTTGTCCTGTTGCTGTTGTTGCAGTTGGACAATTTTCTCAGGAAAACATGAACTCGGATGGGAAAACTTTTCGTTTAATATTAACCTCTGGGGACAGAAAGAAAAAACAGCTGTGGCTGAGACTCCAATGCCTCTCCTCTACAGAGGAAATTTCACAAAGGCTCCTCAGTGGGATTTTGATGATGTCTATAACCAGGATGCCCCACCTAGACCAACAGTAAGCATGCTAAGACACAATATGACAGAAACAGGACAAATGTAGTAATTAATTTGATGGCTGTGGGCAGGCAACGCTTGTGCTCAGCCATGCAGTCAGTCTGCTTTCACTTAATGGTTTCACTCCTTTAATTAAAATACATAATTCTTAATTATTCATCAAATTTCTGTAACTGTTGTGTTTGTTGTTTCCTCGGGGTATAAAGCTTTCACAAAATCATTTTAACTAATTTCACGATTTAATATTTCTGTTATTATCAGACATGTGCCCAATCACTGCGAAACTCTAAGGATGAGAACTTCAAGAAGGCTTTTCTTCCCAACATACGTTTGTTTCTGCACAAGGACAACATTAACATGAGCGAGTGGAATCGCCTTTCACATTTTAACAGTCCTTTTGGGTTTATGGAGTACAAATATGATGGTAGGTGTTTGTGAAACTGATGCCAGATTAAATATCAGTATATATGTGAGCTTGATCAGCAACTAAGTAATAGATTTTTTGTTATTTAATTTCTCCTTCCAGTTTCTGACTCCTGATATTATAATAAAGACAGACACTGTTGGTGTTAAAAAATATATATTATGGCACCTTTAAGCAGTGTTTTTTGTGTCATCTACAGTTTTCTGTAGTAAAAAGTTCCTGATGAATCAGGTCACCAAGGATTAATTAAATGATGAGTTAAAGAAAGTGAAGTTTGAACTTGTATTAAGACACATGAAATTATTCATACAACACTAAATTAAGATACACTCCAAGCCAGTGTTGGTCAAGTTACTTGAAAAAAGTAATCAGTAACTAATTACAGATTACACTCCCCCAAAAAGTAATCCCATTACTTTACTGATTACTTATTTTCAAAAGTAATTAGTTACTTAGTTACTTTTTAAAAGCACGATTTACAACCTGAATAGGTGATAAAGCGATAGATCTTTCAGCCCGATTCTACTTTTTCTGCATAATCCATCATATAAAATGTAATCAAATGGAAAAGTCTCTTTTTAAAACTTGTTTTATTAGTTTTAATCTTTTAACTTTATGCATCAAGCAAAAATTTAATTATATGCAACATTCTCTGACTGGAAGAAATTTGTTTAACATTTAAACCTATTTTCTGCAACACTCCATCTTGATTTCCAGGTTAAGTACTTATGCTGTGAGAGGAATTATATTGAACTGGTTAAGTTCCTTAGATAATACTTTTCAATTTGTGCAGTATTTAGGTAACTCATCTGAAAGAATGAAAATTGAATGTGGGGTCCTTCGAGGTTCTGTTTTGGGAACAAAACTTTTTTATATATAAACGACATTTGCAGATGACACAATTTTTTATTGTTCTAGAGAAAAGTTGAAAGAATTGGCTAAAATTATGGTTATTGAAAAGTAAAAACTAAAAAAATGGTTTGATGTAAATAAGTTATCGTTGAATTTGGCAAAGACAAAGTTTATGATGTTTGGAAATCATGTAAAGGAGGAAGAGGTAGTATCATCTATAGATGGAGTATTGATCGAAAGAGTTACAGAATTCCATTTTCTGGGTGTAATAGTGGATGACAAGTTAACATGAAAATCTCATATTGAACATGTTTAAAAAAAGATGGCCAAAAGTATATATATACTGGGTAATGCGATATATATATTAAATTACAAGGCAATGCAAATATTAGATTTTTCATTATTTTTACCCTGAGTTATTGTGTCGAAGAATGGGGGAATACATATGCGAATAATATAAAACCATTATACTTATTACAGAAGAGAGTGCTATGAATTATGCATGATGTTAAATGTATGTCTGTACTCATGTCTTTCTTTTCGTTTGCAGAAGTGATGGCTTCAGTGAAGCTGATTCCAAAGCCAAAAGAGCCACTGCTCCTCCCAAAACCAGGTGCCGATGGCTGTATTCACTGTGCTGTGGTGGGTACTGCAGGAATTTTGAATGGCTCAAAAGTGGGTGCAGAGATCGATGCACATGATTACGTTTTTCGGTACGTAAGAGGTACAAAACAAACCTGTTGTTAATGTTCTTTAAACTGAAGGGAATTATAAGGGTCAAATGTCTCAAAATCACATTGCAGCTGGTGCAGCGCACAGCAATCACTTAGATTTGATGTAATCTCTAGGGACACACAACATTCAAAAATCCAGAAATATATACCTAGTATATATCAAGTGTGTATTTCTATAATATGTGTTGTCAAAGGAGCTTGCAAAGAAAAGCGTCTGGACTTCTTTAAGTTGCTTGAAGACGTTTCACCTCTCATCCGAGAAGCTTCTTCAGTTCTAAGGTCAAATGGTGGAGAGTCCCAGATATAAACCTAGTGGGAGTTTCCCCCCACAGAGGGACAAAAGGACTCCCTGATGACCCTCTAATCGCCTGAGCCAAGGTGTGAAACTGGGCGTGGGTCCCAATCAGCCAGAGTTTCGGGTATGTTCATTGTGAAACCTGGCCCCACCTTATCATGCGAATTCCTGAGGTCAGATGGCCCAGGATGTGAGTGGGCGTTAAGGCGTCTGGGAAGGGATCTCAAAACTGGATTATAGATGGCAGAGAGTTGGTTTCGTAAACCCCCGCCTCTGTTCAAAGATGGTCGCTCACAGTGGACATAGATGGCTTCTTTCACTCCTCTTTCAAACCATCTGTCCTCTCTGTCCAAAATGTGAACATTGGCATCCTCGAAAGAGTGTCCTTTATCCTTAAGATGCAGATGGACTGCTGAGTCTTGTCCTGTGGAGGTGGCTCTTCTGTGTTGTGCCATGCGCTTGTGAAGTGGCTGTTTGGTCTCTCCAATGTAGAGGTCTGAGCATTCCTCGCTGCACTGTACAGCATACACCACATTGTTAAGTTTGTGTCTTGGCGTTTTGTCTTTCGGGTGAACCAGTTTTTGTCTGAGCGTGTTGCTGGGTCTGAAACACACTGGGATGTCATGCTTGGAGAAAACTCTCCTGAGTTTCTCTGATACACCGGCTACATAGGGGATGACAATGTTGTTGCGTCTGTCCTTCTTATCCTCCCTCGCTGGTGTCTGGTCTTCTTTTCTGTGCCTCTTTGCTGACTTTAAGAACGCCCATTTAGGATAGCCGCACGTTTTGAGTGCTTCCTTTACATGTGTGTGTTCCTTCTTTTTCCCTTCAGGCTTAGAGGGAACATGTTCTGCCCGGTGGTGTAGGGTCCTAATTACTCCAAGTTTGTGTTCCAAAGGGTGATGGGAGTCAAAGAGGAGGTACTGGTCCGTGTGTGTGGGCTTCCGGTAAACTTCGATGTTGAGTTTGCCGTTCTCTTCAATGTGCACAGCACAGTCCAGGAACGGCAAACAGTTGTCCTTTGTGTCTTCCCTGGTGAACTTGATGTTTTTATCCACAGCGTTAATGTGCGCAGTGAAGGATTCCACTTCTTGTGTCTTGATTTTGACCCAGGTGTCGTCCACATATCTGTACCAGTGGCTGGGTACTCTTCCTTTGAAAGAGCCAAGAGCCTTCCTTTCCACTTCCTCCATGTAAAGGTTGGCTACAATAGGTGACACGGGGGAGCCCATGGCACAGCCATGTTTTTGTCTGTAGAAGCCTTCGTTGTACTTGAAATATGTAGTGGTGAGGCAGAGGTCTAACAGTGTGCAGATCTGATCGGGTGTGAAGTTGGTCCTGTCCTCCAAGGAGCTGTCTTCTTGTAGTCGTTTTCTGACAGTCTCCACGGCCTCAGTGGTGGGTATGCAAGTGAAAAGAGAGACTACATCAAAGGACACCATGGTTTCATCTGGATCCAGGGTAAGTTTCTGGACCTTGTCGGTGAAGTCGGTGGAGTTCTTGATGTGGTGTGGGGTGTTCCCCACGAGAGGCGCAAGGATGGTAGCAAGGTGTTTAGCAATGTTGTAAGTGGCTGAGTTTATGCTACTGACTATGGGTCTGAGTGGAACAGCTTCCTTGTGGATCTTAGGTGAGGTGAGGACAGTAGTGATCTTTGAGCACAGGAAGCAGGTACACACACTAACGGAAAGGGAGGCTCAGAGCATCCATGTTGTACACTACTCTCCTCAGTGACAACAATACCTACGAAGCCCTGAAGCGAGACCCCACAAGCAGCTACAAAAAGAAAGTTATAGCTTGCCTTCAAGACTTTGAAAAGGACAAAATTATTGACCGCCTTACATATCACTGCCTTTACCCAGGGGATGCCATACCCTGCATCTATGGACTTCCTAAGATCCACAAGGAAGCTGTTCCACTCAGACCCATAGTCAGTAGCATAAACTCAGCCACTTACAACATTGCTAAACACCTTGCTACCATCCTTGCGCCTCTCGTGGGGAACACCCCACACCACATCAAGAACTCCACCGACTTCACCGACAAGGTCCAGAAACTTACCCTGGATCCAGATGAAACCATGGTGTCCTTTGATGTAGTCTCTCTTTTCACTTGCATACCCACCACTGAGGCCGTGGAGACTGTCAGAAAACGACTACAAGAAGACAGCTCCTTGGAGGACAGGACCAACTTCACACCCGATCAGATCTGCACACTGTTAGACCTCTGCCTCACCACTACATATTTCAAGTACAACGAAGGCTTCTACAGACAAAAACATGGCTGTGCCATGGGCTCCCCCGTGTCACCTATTGTAGCCAACCTTTACATGGAGGAAGTGGAAAGGAAGGCTCTTGGCTCTTTCAAAGGAAGAGTACCCAGCCACTGGTACAGATATGTGGACGACACCTGGGTCAAAATCAAGACACATATATATATATATATATATATATATATATATATATGTATCAGAATCAGAATGGGGTTTATTGCCAAATGTTGAGCAGGTTTACAACATTAGGAAATTGCTGCGGTGCTTCAGTGCAAACATAGTGTCATAAATAGCACTTAAATAGACATGGAAAAAAAATAAAAGTAGGGATAAGAATTAAAAGTGCTACGTGGAAAGATATGTGCATGAGATATACATGAGATATATACATGAGAATAAGAATTAAGAGTGCTACGTTGAAAGATATATACATGAGTGCAGGTGGTGATCAGTGCCAAACATGGAATGATGCAGTGACACAGCGTAGGGTCATGTGTTAGTGGCGGGTACAGTCATATGGTTATTGTTCATGTGTCCAATGTATACGTATATATATGTGTGTATACGTATATATATATATATATTAGGGGTGCAACGATATTCGTATCGATATTGAACCGTTCGATACAGTGCTTTCGGTTCGGTACGCATATGTATCGAACAATACAACATTTGTAATTTATTTTATCAACTTTCCTTCTGACGATGCTGTCTGTGTGGAGCGCTCAGTGAATCTGCGTTCGACTACTCCGCCTAGGCTGCACTGTCGAGCGCAGATCCACTGAGCGCTCCACACAGACAGCATAGTCAGAAGGAAGAGCGCAGGGCAAGCTAGCTCTCCTTGCAACATGGCAAATTGAACCTCCCCCACCCTCATTCAGATCTGGCGTTTGGAATTATTTTGGTTTTCATGTGACGTATGACCCTGAAGGTAAGCGCGTCATGGACTAAAGTAAAACAGTATGTTGGATGTGCCACACAATGCTCAATTACATGGGTGGGGGCTAGTGTGTTAGCGCAGTTAGCTCGTTAACGTGTTGGCCGTCTAGCCCCATGCACGGGGCTATCAGGGGTAGCTCGTTAACGGAGATTTGCCATGTTGTGGCGTTAAGGTCATTTTAACAAGGTTAACCTGAAAGCACTAGTGGGAACACAACGAATATGACTGCACATTTACGCCGACATCATCCTAGTGCAAAGACAAAAACAACAAGCATGCATGCTACAAACTTTACCTGAGTCATTTAGACAGCCGTTAGCACATGATTCTCCTTATGGGGACCTGATATGTTTAATATGCTGCTGAGAATATAGCCCAGAAGAAACGGATAGTATAGCTTTTATTTTGGAAAGAGCCATTTCTCTGTAATAAACTCTCTTTTCCAAAGATGAGTGATTCCTCAATCAGATACAGGGCTCGCAAAATCGCTAGCCCGACGTCCTGGGGCTAGCGATTTTTCCAGTCGGGCTACAAAAATCTATCTCTGCCCTGCCCGTCCGACTATTGTAGGAAGGAAAAATATATGTCAATGCTTTTGCCTTCTTTCGGAAATGTAGCTGGGTAATTATGTCATTGGCATCGGTGAGCCACTGTCAATATGTGACATATTGAAATCGCATTTGAATTTGCGCTTGTCTTTTTGCTTTCACTTTGCAATCGCGTGAACTGTGTATAGAGAGCGACAGTACTGATTGGTGAGTGATGATAATTTGTGCACCAATTCCTCTGACATCGTCTTATCAATCGTTAGCTTACTATGCAAACATGACAAGTGAAATCTCCCGCAGCAAGCTTAAACATGTGAGAGGTTGATCGCGCAGAGAATCGCTGAGCTTATGTGAGTGCGTGTGTAAAAGCAGCAGGATATATATTTCAGTTCTGCTGAGCCAAATAAGACAGATCAGGGTGAAGAAGTGACAGCCAAAGAAAAGCTTACCGCAAAACGGAAAAGTTATGACAAATCAGACTATAAGGCAAAAAGAAAGTGCAGCTTTATGGTTTCATGGACAAAATAATTTCTGTGGCTGCGATATGATGAGCTAAATAACCAGGGCTGCACATAAGTGGTCCGCAGGTGCGCATTCGCTGTCAAAATAAAAAACACGCACAAGGGTTAGGGTTAAATTTAAAAACTGTACTTTTAAGTTAAAATCTATATTTATAATTTTAATAAATGACCAATTAAAAAGGCATGAACATTTTATTTTGTATCGAAAAAATATCGAACCGTTACACCAAAGTATCGAACCGAACCGAACCGTGAATTTTGTGTATCGTTGCACCCCTGATATATATATATATATATATATATATATATATATATGTATATATACACGTATACACATATATATATACACACACACACACACATATATATATATATATATATATTATTATATATATATATATAT